ACGTTATGGAGGAACCAAGTTCTACGTAGTGATCATTGAACACTGATGCCATTTTTCCAGGATCAATGATTCCAAATATATAATAATATAATAATAAATAATTTATTAAAAAAAAAATATATAAACAGAAATTTCGTATGTCTTAATTCTATATTCTTATTGCTATGTTATTCCATGCGCTTGAACTAGGTTTGAAACCTGTACCTCAGGCAATAAAAACCGCTTAGCATAGAGAACTTAAGGTCTAATTAACAATAATTATATAATCATTCTTATATTAAATTATTTGATTGCTCAAATTTTACCTATAATAAAAATGGGGTGCAGCTGAGTAAATACTATTAAACGATTTTTTATAAAGAATTAATTAGCTGTTACTACGGATTTTGAGAGTGTGGGAATATAGGGTTTTTTTTGAAGGGGGAAAATCATCCAATGACTTTTCCCACCTTGGGTTAAGCAAGAGGGAGTGTCAGACTCTTACTGACTAAAAACCACCCCGTTCCCACTGCTGCTCTTCGAGCCGGAGCCCCGGCAACCCGTTAGGGCTCCTTCGGTTGCGTATCGGGCAACTACGTAGTTGTGCATAGATATACATATATAGATGTACATAGATACTAAAATAGGGCTGAGAACACAAACATTAACTAAAGAACAAATACATGAAACTATACGAGTGATAATTAATAAAAAAACAACAAGGATGTTTCGCAAATGAGTCAATATCAGCTTTATCATTAGGGTCACGGCAGATCGGGTGGCGCTGAGAATAATAATTTGTTAAGAGAAGTATGTCAATCGATCCTTAATTTATTCATATATCAAGTCGGCGCGCGCGCTGCCGGCGCAAGCGATTGTAACTTGTTTATGTCACGTTATCAGGCGTCGTTTGCTGGGGATGTCTCACTTCTTATCACCAAAGCAACAACAACAACAACAAATTAAGGTTAGTCAATTTACTAATTGTTCATAAATAAATAGTGTGTGTTTGTTGCATTTGGATTGTTTGTACGCATCTTGTAATTTCGTGTTGTTAATTGGCGAAAAAGTTACGTTTTAATGTCAGCTCATATTTACTATTAAACGGAATAAAAGAAATTATGTTTCGCATAGGTAATTATATTATTTAGTGTCTGTCGTTAGATATGAGAGTCTAGTTAATAGCTTGTGCTTTAGTGGATGTGATGACGCCACGATAACAGTCATTTTTTCTGCAGATATAGAAAGGCTATTCGTCCTAGCTGTAGAAAAATTGTTGTGAAACTATGTTAATTCGAATGCACTGTCTACAAGACAAAACTAAGCACTGTGAGGAAAGCCCAGATGTCAGTTACTAATGTTTAATTTCAAATCTAATCGTTACATTACAGTTACAAATATAATTCGTAAAAAACACTTCAAAATAAATACCTAAAATAAATAAACAAAACGAAATACACTAGCAAGCGAGTGGCCAGTATCCTTGTGGATGTGGGACATATATAAACAATATAAACATAATAGATAGGTAGATATGACTAGAGTAGTGAGTAAATAGTGATCTGTGACCCCGGCTCTTTATTTTTAGTCAATATGTATACCGCTTACTTCCTGCTCATATCTGTACGAAGCAGTTGCTATGTGCACGATGAATGTACTTAGATAAGGTTGGGAGAGTTTGGTGACAAAAATAACATTATTTCGGTTAGTACAAATATTGGGAAGTGATAAAAGCTGGTTTGGTGGTTCAATGTGTGGTTAGCGCATTCTATCGAAGAATCGAGAGTGTGAGACAGGAACAGGTATCAGCAGCTGTAGCCAAATGTACTTTAGAGTTTGTCTACATGTAGAATAGAAAACCAAATTATATGCAGGGATTGACGTAAATTTTGACATTTGTCAGTGTTATCCCCATTCATTTAGTTTTTACTCTCTCTGTAGACAAGCGCTAAAGTGACGTTTGGCTAAAGGCACTGGTATGGACACAGCGACGGATTTCATAAAAGAAACCATGTATTAATTAGGCTGGTTTTAGTGTCGCGTTGACCACACGCTGACCGTCAGCGCTGACAGCTGAGATGTATGAAGTTGGTGGTCAACGGTGACCTCCGTGCGCGTTGATAGCTACGCGTCATTCAAAAAAGCTTTCTAGAAGTTTATCAGCGCTGACAGTGCGCGTGCCGTCACTCCGTCAGCGCGACTCTTAAACCAGCCTAGAGAAAAGAATCGAGATATGTGGGAAATGTGGGAAAGCCATGCTTCGGTACGACTGGGCTGGCTCGACCGGAGTAATCCGACGGCCTCACAGAAAACCGACGTGAAACAACGCCTGCGTTGTGTTTAGTCGTGTGAGTGGGGTTACGGGAGGCCCAATTATCCCCTCAGTCTCCCTAAACTCCGAATCCTCCACAATCTTCTAATTCCCAATTCCCAAATGGCCGGTAACGAACTTATAACGCCTTGGTGTCTCAGGTGTCCATGGGCGCCAATTGCTTACCAGGTGGTACCTTATCAGGTGATCCGTCTGCTTGTTTACCAGCTTAAGCCATAAAAAAGATATACGAATTCTGTCTCATAATAAGTATGTAATTATCGACGGTGACTATCGATAGCTGAAAAACTAAATTATATTAGTACCTACATATTATTATGTAAGTATACTCAGAGATATAAATGTAATAGTAGGTACTTACAGATACTTTAGTTAAGATAAAGTAAAACTTTCTTGTCTCATTTTCACAGTTGTTTGTCAAACATTTTCATTTTGCGGTCACCGTGCGGTCAAACGCCCACCAGGTGACCTCTATCCAAATAATGTATTTAAAGAAAAAGATATTAATGGTCGACAAAAAGTATTAAAAAATGAGAATGACTAATTATGGTTGTCAATCTAACGACTATCGGATTAAGCATAATCAGTAAAAATGTTAATTGATAGGTATGCGTTATGATAGAAAATATCGTTAGAAAAATGGACTTTAAATTTCGAGTTATAAGTCTGAAATTGTCAATCCACCTTAAGTAGATAAGTATTATGAATAATGCTTCTAATTGTGTGTGATAAATCGCCTTTGCTCAGGCCTCAGGCTTCGCAATAGTTACAGGTTTTCGCAATCGCAATGCTTTATGCAAGTTTTAATTAGGTCTTATTTAACCTTCAAAAAGCGTGCATGTGTAAAGCCTTCAATGAATAGTCTCTGTAGTAGTTTTTAAAGTTCATTTTTCAAATGATGTCTATTCGTAAGTAAATACTGATTCTTTTGTAAGGGTCACAAGGACCGATACTAATATAATTTGCCATCCTCTGAAATATAGGGACTCTGTACCGGCACTAGTGACCTGGTTAGCCATCAATGACTCAATAATATTAACGTATAAAATATGAACACAATAAAATATCATCGATATGAATCATTATTTTGTTTGTTTCGGGTTTTTACGTGGAGAAACAGAAATGTTAAAAATAGAACATTTTGGTTTGACTTTCAGTTGATTGTTACCTACGCATATAATGTTACATAGATTGATAAAATTCCGTGAAGTTTTGGTTAGTTACTGTGGGCGGAGCCTTTACATATCTTTTTAAATGTAGTATGCTACATTTCCACCTAACCTAACCTTCCACTAGGAGTATCACCTGTGTCGTGGATTACTTACTAACTAGAAAAAGAAACTAGAAAAAGACTGCCTCGTTGGCCGAATGGTCGCCAGTGGGTGATAGGCAAGGGGTGTCGGCATCGATTTCCGGGCCGAGCAAATTATTGGGTTTTTTGAAAAAAATCTCAGTGGTAGCACGGAGTCTGGAGTTGTGCGGGCACAACTCCCTGAGGCTCATATACCGGGGTATATGGCAATAGGCTCACTCCCTATTACACGGGACTCATAACAATTAACATAAACAGTGAAAAGTAGGTGCAAGATGATTGTACAGTTGCGTTAAGTGCCGCAATGTTCACCGCTGCATACGCCGTCGGGGATTTAAGGCGTGATGTTATGTAGAAAAAGAAAAAAATATCCCTTCATATAGCTGGGTAAAAAAACGTAGTTTGTGAATTACACAAAAATGTGTAAGTAAGTTGTTTAATGTGTATTAGATTAGATATTGCAGATTTAAAAACACTACTGTTGTCTAGTCTGTCAAATGTATAGTTTCTTGAAGAAGAAACAGAAGTGAGAGAAAGACAGAAGTGAGAATGACAAATGCATAATATGTATTTTCTCGCTATCACAGGGCTTACCTCTATATGCAAAATCATAGATTAAAACTAAAAAAAAACAGGTTCGGGACTGAAATGACCGGAGCCCGATCCCCCTCCCAATACTTCAATCCTCAAATCCTCATAAAACCGGTAACGCACTAGTGTTGGGTCTTCTGGTGTTGCAGGTATCCATGGGCGCCGCTGCCCTCCTACCATCAGGTGATCCACCTGCTCGTTGGCCGCCTTATCCTATATCTAATTATTTACAAACCACATCACATCAACAGCCTATAAATGGCCACTGCTGACAAAAAGCATCTCGCCACATGGAGAAGGTTTAGGGATTTGAAACTTATAATTAGAAATTAGCCCAGGTTTCCTCATGATGTTTTTCTTTCACCGTTTGTCTGTGGTGTCTAAATAATCTTAAAAAGTACATGTAACTCGGAAAAAGTCAAATTGGTACTTGCCGTTGGTAGGTTTCGAACTCGCAACCTCATGTATAAGAAGCGTCTTAAACCTCAGGGCCACCACGACATTATTAATTACGACATTACAAACTATGCATGGATCAAATTCGAAATCCTTCTATAAGATAAACTATAAAAATAAATCACTAAAACTTTCGATGCCCTACCACCCCTAATCACTATGTAACGCGTTATCACGTGTTGTTTAGAAGAATCTCTTATCTTATTGCCATGACAATGTTTTGTAAACGCTTTTATCTCGGTAAATAAGTTTTAAGTAATTCCGTACTATGGACCAGCGGGGGCTATTTTTAGAGCTGCAGTGTTGTGACGGTCCCATTCAACAGGTTACAGTGAGCGAGCAAACAATTTTGTTATAGTGCAGTGGCCGTGTTTAAATTTCGAACAAGGATGAACTTGAAATATTCTGTATGTAGCAATTTTATTTTTCGCTTGTATTTTAAATATTATAGGAATGAGGTTTATGTTATCGTTGGTTTTCATTCGTTTCTTTTTTAATATTATATTTATTATTTTTGTATACTGTTATTTATTTTGTAGTGATGTTTTTAAATACAATAATTATATTTCATTTTACAGTTTCAGTTATAATTGTATGTTTTTATTAGTTCGGCATTATTTGAATAATATGGAAATGTGTGTGTTTACATTTAGGATTCGAATCCAGAAACGTACATGTTAGCTTACATTTTAATTATACATCTTATACTTCGGAAATAAAATAAATTAAATGTGAGTAAACTAACCTTTGAATTAAATTCTAAATGGAGACAACTCGTTCTAATACACAGATTGTGTCATAAATAGTGGCCCAGACTTAGAGGGCACTTAAAGGGACTTACAAGTATTCATCTGTAACACATAAAACGTTCATCCCATTTGTCAAAGTCAAAGGCAAAATCATTTATTTCAATTAGACCTGGAAGGCACATTTGATAATCAACAAAAAAAATAAAAGTGAAGCTATTTGCTCCTATGGAGAGGAACGAGCAAGAAACTCCATAGGTTACTCTTTTTCAATCAGGTTTACAATACAATTCTCTAGTTACATAGTTTTATTGGTTTGATTGTGCGAGAACAATGTAACACCAAAAAGTCCAGTCAAAGAGCCCGAAAAAGAAAATAACCGGACAATAAATAATGTAGTCTGGAACTGACTAGTCACAGTTCACGAATTTAACCAACTAATGAAAGTTTTTGCGTTAAAATTTTATAAAAAACTTCCATCGATAACTATCTCTTCCTGAGTATGAGACATTGACACATCAGTATTAAAAAAAAAGTTGTTTACACTAAAGGTCCGTGTATTTCCATTACTTTCTCGGTACAAATAATTGAATTAAAGTACTTATTTGTTTATTTTTAAACTTATCTGACAATTGTTATTGTCACTATTAATTGCACTGTCTACTCTCATAATTATTAATTTAATATTGACTATAATTGTAATCCTGTTATTGTTTATTTGAGTCATAAATATTGATATTGCTATTAAGTAAGCATTGTCTCAGTATAGACATTAAATTATTTCGTAAGGGACCGAAAATGGTACCTTGCGGTACACCTTTAGTAGGTGGTTCAAATAATTGATGGCTTAGCAATGATTAATAGATTTATTTACATGGGCAACTAAGTACATATTTTGTATCACTAAGTGAAACAAGTGAAACAAGTGAAACAAGTGAAACAAGTGAATTTATTTCTGCAAATAGGCTACAAGGCAGCACTTTTACACGTCAATTTTATCAAGTTAACTTTGAGGTCGACATTTCCTAACTGACTACTCTGAGAAGAAATGCCGAAACAAACTCAGAGGTCTGTCTCTTTTAAAGTCCAGACAATATGTATAACAGATTATGTGTGAGAACCGTGCCAGTTCTTTCTGTAGTGGGCTTTTGAGGAAAGAACCACAACAGTTTGAGCGGACCCGTTCTGAAGGCAGTACGCATGTGTCGGTTTACAGTCAGCTCAATTAACAGGTGAGGCTGACTGATTCGACGAACAATACCAACCTAAAGAACATTTGCGTGGGTCGCACAAATACTCAAACTGTCAGAAAAAGGGTAATTAGAAAAGAAATGGTGAGGCAAAGTCTCGCACGGTCCTAGCACTAACAATTGTTAAATAAAAAGTAAATGTCAAGTTAGAACAACATATGAAAAACAATGTCACATTAAAACAATAATGTCAAATTGCATATAAAAAAAGAAATGTAACTATATGTTACAAACATGTCAACATGACCTGTGTGGACGTTACAGCAGCTTATTCCCAAGCCAGACTATCATCTAGGTAGTCTTTTATTTTATAATAAGCTTTACTATAAAATTTATCTTTAATGACATTTTTAAATTTATTTAGACTCAAATTTTGGATATGGCTGGGAATCTTATTGTAAAAGCGTATACTCTGACATCTAAACGAACCACTTATTTTCTTTAGTCTAGTAGTGGGAACAACATATTTGTCTTTATTTCTCGTGTTTATATTATGTATATCACTATGTTTTTTAAATAAACTTTTGTTTTTATGAGCATATACTAAATTTTCATAAATGTATTGAGAAGCAACCGTCATTATATTAATTTCTTTAAATAGTTCCCTGAGAGAGTACCTCGGACTAAGATTATAAATTGATCGAATGGCCCTCTTCTGCAGAACAAAGATAGATTGAATGTCAGCAGCATTCCCCCATAAGAGAATACCATATGACATAACACTATGAAAATAACTAAAGTATACTAATCGCGCTGTATCTACATCGGTTAGATTTCTAATTTTTTTAACGGCATATGCTGCAGAACTGAGCCTTTTCGATAACTTATTTATATGTGGAGCCCACTGGAGCTTAGCGTCTAGGGTTATACCTAAAAAGACAGTAGAATCTACAGGGCTCAACTCCTCACCCTTAATGAGCACGCTGGTTTTCACATGTCCAACATTTGGTGTTGTAAATTTAATGCATTTAGTTTTAGTTCCATTTAGTAATAGGTTGTTGGCATTGAACCAGCGTACTATCTCCGAGAGAGCACTGTTCACATTATTAATAACTAATTGTCTACGTTTAAGTTTAAATAATAACGAAGTATCATCCGCAAACAGTACTATCCCGTGGTTATCCCTTACAAGGTAAGGTAAGTCATTTATATATATAAGAAACAAAAATGGGCCGAGAATTGACCCCTGCGGAACCCCCATCCTGACAACAGACCCGGTGGAGACTTTTCCGTTTATTTCGACTCTCTGAATCCTGTTACTCAAGTATGAGGTAAGAAGATCCAGAGATTTACCTCTTATTCCATAATGGGATAGCTTCCTGATCAATGTATCATGAAGGACACAATCGAACGCCTTGGATAAGTCACAAAAAATGCCCAAAGCGTCGCTTGAGTCCTCCCACGCGTCATATATGTGATTAAGAAGTTCAACACCGGCATCAGTTGTTGAACGACCCCTGGTAAAACCAAACTGGTTACTATGTAACAATTTATTTCTATTAAAAAATCTTTGCATTTGATTTAGAATAATTTTTTCAAAAATTTTACTAAATGTAGGTAGTACTGAAATAGGTCTAAAGTTAGTGGGGTCAGAAGTACTACCTGATTTAAATAACGGAGTTATTTTACTATTTTTCATAAGATCAGGAAACACACCGCGGTCGATACAATTATTAAAAATTAGAGCTAATAGAGGTGCTATAATAGCTATAACAGAGCTGGCAATGTACACAGAATTTCCCCACAAATCTGCAGTCTTTTTCTTATTTAAGGTATGGAAGGTTTTGACGATATCTGTACAATCTATGTGTTCAAAAGAGAACCCTATGCTGCAAGCTATAACGTTTTCTTTTAGTAAAGATTCTGCAACAGTGGGAGATGAATTCAATGACTTAGTCGTAGATATAGGAATGTCCGAAAAGAAACTTTCAAATGCAGCTGCAACTTCTGCGTCTGATTTTATTACATTATTATCAATTAGAAGACTATATTCATTACTTTTCTTTTTGGACCTTCCCGTCTCACTGTTAATAATACTCCAGGTCGCTCTGATGACATTGGTACTGTTCTTTATTTTGGAGCTCAAGTACCGCGACTTTGCAATAGCGCAGACCTTTTTAAACAATTTAGAATATTTCCTAACATATACATTAAATTCGATTGTGTTAATAAATGTCCTCTCACTATATAGCTCATAGAGACGTTTCCTACTTTTATGGATGCCAGTGGTTGCCCATTCGTTGAAAGACACATTGCCTTTAACTGGTATAGTTTTAGGTGTAAAGGTAGACTTAAACTCGGTATGGTACATATTAAAAAAATCATCATACAAATTATTAGGATTTTTATTCATTAACAAAGGTAATTTTTGAGTGACTTTAGATTTGAAGGTTTCAATGCGTCTTTCAGTCTTTGGGTTGACAGTGATAAATGGTTTAGACATTGTATTTACATGATTTGTTATTGAAATTAACTGTCCGCAATGATCTGAATCAAGCAATGATATAATTTGTTTCTTAATTGGTACAATGTCAGTATAAATATTATCCAGGCAAGTGGCACTAGTGGGAGTTATCCTAGTGGGCTCCAGAAATAAGTTCGCAAGGTTAAATGAGGCAAATAAACTTACAATTTTAGTGCTTAGACTAGAATTCTCTAACAAATTTACATTAAAATCGCCACAGGTAATGATGAATTTATTTGAGCTACTGAGTTTATTTAATACTTCATCTATTACTGTTTCAAAATAGTCATACAAACCAGAAGGTGGTCTATACACACTTAAAACAATAAACCGCTCTAATTCCACACAAGCTATTTCAACAGTGCGTTCAACAGAGTAACTAACTATATCCTTGCGTTCTTTAAATTTAAGTTTGTTATTTATTAATATTAGTGAACCACCATGTATAGCGTTCTCCCTGCTGAACGAGCTACCAATCTGGTGATTACCAAAATTGAACATTAGTTGATGAGATTTCAACCAATGCTCAGTAATACACAAAATGTCAACATTATTACAATTCAAAAATAACTCTATTTCTAGTTCCTTGCTCATAAAACCTTGAATATTTTGGTGAACCAGACTGATAACACTACTGTTTGATTTGCAAGAGGTTCCCTCTATTGTCTTACTTTTTAATTTAAATTATTAGAAATGTCAATATTTATTGAATTATTATTAATAATGTCAATATTTGAAAGTTGCTCAATAGGAGCAACCTGTTTAGCCAAGTTCTTGGCTGTAATATTAAAATACTATAGAAAAAACAGTTTTATGAAATTGTAGGTACAATCACACAGTCCTTATTTATGATATTTAGAAATTTTATACCTCATCGGAGGCTTTAGATAAGTTACGTAATTATCAAAAATATAGACAAATATAGTCCCCTACAAAATTTTGCTTGATTTATATTTTCTTTGTTTCAGGTATACATCGTGCTGCTTCTATTTAGCAATGAAAATTCAGTATATGCTGATCAAGTTAGGATATTTAACTTAAATGACCCAGTATTAAGCTGTAGCGGGTGGCTATCTAACATAATATTTAATATTTGTAATAACACTTATAAAATAGTGAAGAGGGATACTTCTCTTATGATAGGTAAGCTTTTTGTATTGATAATAATTCATTGAGATGAATAGTTTTATTGTGATTGGACAGTATACCGGCTTCGATTCTCAGAGACACTTTAGATTTTTAGTTGTTGCTCTTAGAATAATTATTCGAAATGCTTGGTAATAGCGACCTTTATCGTAATTTTACCTATGGAATTCATAATACAGTAAATTGGTTCTGTAATGTATAAAACGCGAGGTTTCGTGTAATTTTATTTATTAAAAATGCCTACGAGATACGAGTATCAGGTTAATTAATTATCCAATAATTATTATTTTCCATGAAATTTCCCTTTTAGTTATTTACTTGTTTCATTTCTTGAAACTAGACACTTGATTTTGTTGTAAAATGAAAACGATTTTTATTTTGTGAGTTTACTCGAAACTTATTATTAAATTCTGTAAAGATATTGGTTTATTCATTGTAGGCAGTCCCGAGTTTTCAATATCTTCTTTTTGTAATATACATAACTAAGTTGTTTGATCTTAAATCGATTAAGAACGTACTAACTTATCAAGATTCTCTATTATCAGAATTAGGGTACCTAATAATGAATTCAAATCATTGAGTGACTATTAAATGAGATTGGCAATAACATGATTAACAATTGATTGCGAATTAATATTAGTATGGATTTAGCTTACAATTTCTCAACCATAGCTTAGAAATGTACAGTTGCTTTATAAAATTTCAATTTTTCACAGAAAAAATGGCACCAAAAGACTTACAGAAAGAGACAGCAAGACTGCAATTAGTTGACGAGGGCCAATGGAGGCGCGTGCGCAGACAGGTGGCAACACAGTGCTGTGACAGGGCATGTACTATCGCAGACATCATCACTTACTGCCCAAACGATGCCAAACTAGTACAAGAAAATCCTGAAATATTTGAATAAACAAATATATAAAAAATTTAGTAAATTTTCATAGCAGAGTATTATTATTTATATAATGTATTTACCTAAGTACAAAGTCAAATCATAGTGTAATTGGTTCAAAGACTGTTTGTGTTAATAATGAGATACCATTGATAAAGGAATCAAATAAATAATAGTATATTTAGTGTGATTTTAACTTAACCTCCTTGTTTATGGAATAAATTGGTAAACGAGCAGGCGGATCACCTGATGGTAAGCAATCGGTGACGCCCGTGGACAGCCGAAACCCCAGAGATGTTCACAATGCGTTGGCGGCCTTTTGGGGATCAGGAATTTGAGGATTGTTGGGGATTCGGAGATGGGGGCGGGGGGTAATTGGGCCTCCGTTAACCTTACTCACACGACGAAACACAACACAAGTGCTGTTTCACGTCGGTTTTTTGTAAGTGCGTATAATAGCACTAGCTAATAACTTCTGCGCGGTTGCACCCGCTCTGCTCGTCGCCTTTTGATTGTATCCTGATTTTTATGGCTTATAGTTTTCCCCGATAAATTCACTATCCAACACAAAAGGAGTTTTCTAATCGGCGCAGTACTTCCTGAGATTAACACATTCAAACAAATAAACTATTCAGCTTTTAATAGTATACACCGTGAAGTCTATTTCGTTTTCGTCTAGCAGTAACTAAAATGGTTCTGTCTTATTTATATAATAATTTTACAAAGATATAAAATAATTATACAACAAAAAATAACCGGTAAACCATTGCAAAAACCAAAGTTCGAAAGCGCATGCGAACTCATAGTACATTATCAAAACATCACGCTATGTAATTCTCGAATAGTTATTTCTTGTCTAGTGCCACGTGCGATGCGAATAGTGCCAACAAATTTACGTTTAGTACTTACTTTGGTAGGTAACTTTGAGACGCTCTAAAGAGCACGTTAACAGACTGTCTCAATTTAGATTAAGTATCCTACAAGTCTACCTCTATGTTACACGAGCACTGATCCGCCAATGGTACACGTCTACGTTACTGACAAGTCTACATCATTCGAACCAGTATACGTCTAAATCCTGCCAAAATCTATAGACCAATCTTAGACTTCGAACATCTGGATTAGTCGCGTTCAATTTCGTAAGGAATTTCCTAGCACCTAGGCTGAAAGCTGACGCTAAACTAGTTTTTTTTTTTTTTTTTTTTTAAGGGGGGAAAATCATCGAATGACTGCCCCCGCCTGGGTGAGGCGGGAGGGAGTGTCAGACTCTTACTGACTAAAAACCACCCCGTTCCTTCTCCTGCACGTCGAGCCGGAGCCCCGGTTACCCGTTAGGTTCTCCGCGACTCCGAATCGGCATCGGCCCTATTGGGCCCCATCTGTGGTGGTCTGATGGCTCTTTGAGGCGCGCGCGGAACGCGACGCGCCGTACGCTCGGGTCTGTTTCTGGTCGGACGGGGAGCTACCCATGCTCGCCGTCCGCAGGCCCGCGCTTACGGTGGCCGGAGATCGTCCCGCGATCCCCGACGCCCGGTGTGTCCTTCGCGATGGCTGGGTTGCGAGGAGGCAGCGCTTCGCTGCCTCACGCGTCCCGCCTCCTCCTTAGCTAGCATGACTGCTTCGCAAAAGGAGGAGACGGCATCCCAATCCCCCTCGCTCCGCATCATGGCCTGCACTAGGCCCGGACGCGAGAGGTCGCCATCGCCGATCACTTCCCTGAGGACACGGCGGTGCTCAGCCCACGAAGGACGCTAAACTAGTTAGGATCACTGCTAGGCTTTAACCAAATTTGTGTTAGGCTAATAATGCTAATATCTGTACTGCCTTGTTGGTCTGTGGACGTAAGTACGGTTTACGTCGAACTTGTGTTCAATGCCCTTAAGGTCGAAGTTATTTTCTAAATCATCCCTTATTATAAGGGACTCTTACAATGATTGGTGAAAAGTTAGTGTTACATTATGCAGGTTATTTGGCACCTTTGTGCATTCACCTGTCCCTTCCAGAATTAAAAGGTTTTACATGTATCACACAGGGTTTTGAAAATAATTCTATATACGTACGTAAGTAAATTTTTTTAAGCGATAAGTACATACTTCTTTATCATTTAGAAGTCTATATGAATTTATCTTTTACTTACTTAAACAGAATGCTGAGTGTAAAAAAAAAGTATTTTCTCTTGCACTGGTCAGCAATTTCGTGCAGGAGCCGAAATTAATTTACCCGTTATTTATGTCGAACCACTCCAGAATACAAATTGAGCGGTTTCCTGGTTGCTTTTTTGCTGATGCCAAAGTATCCGTTTCTTTCAAACATTTCGTTAGGCAGCAATAAGTCATGATATAGGTTACGTTTGTTGTGAGAATCTTCATAGGTCTTTGAAGATAATATATTAAACTGAGCAACTAAACTGTCACAATTAAAATATGATCTACTACGTACCTACATACTACTTATCATATTATAGAAACTAAACCATTTAACAAAAAAAACCTTCCAAATAGAATAGTTACAAAACCACTGATAAATGAATTTGAAGTTATTTATGACATAATACGATTTTAAAATAACATACCTACAAGGCAGTCGCACTTGCGACCACTCGGCCAACGAGACAGTCATAAATAAAACATGATCATAGTGTAACAAAGATAGAGATGGTTTTTAAAGCCGTAAACCTAGAAGCAAGAAGAAAAAATTAAGTTATATTTAGATAATATTATTATTATCTCTGGTTATCTCCCAAATAGGACATAACACGCATTACGCGTGACGTAACACGCTTTATATTTACCAAATCCAAGAGTAATGAAATTCATTAATGACATATTAAATTAAGATCAAAACGCATTCAGGTAAAAAGCTTTCATATTGAACGGCGGGTAAGCATTTAGATTAGTGTAAAGGTGAGGATACAATGGTGGGAATAGCGGGATAGAATTTTAAGGCTTGCAGTTGAATGCTTAGAAAGAGATGGATGATATTAACTAATAATAATTAAGTGCATAAATTTTATTCGTATTTTTTCTTTAACCGACTTCGAAAATAATGAAAATGGAGATTCTCCGTTTGCTGTGTATGTTTTTGCGCGATTGTCTGAACCGATTTTAATGCGGTCTTCAGAAAAGAAACTGTTTTTCTACGGGTCATTAAGATGCTACAGCACACGCATAACCACGACAGAGGGCAACGTTATAAGTGGTTTACGAGAAAAACATAGAAAAAAAAGTACCTACTAATATATAATACAGGTAATACAAAACAATAATAATAAACAAAAATCAGTAATGACAAGAACAAAGAAACAACAAAGTATAACAATATAGTGACAATACAACAGTAACACATAAATTAAATATTAATAAAACAAGATATGTATAAGTAAGTAAGTAAAATGTATAAGTAAAACCTCGCACTCTCCTGTAATGGAAACATAGCCTTAATTTTCAATAGTGAGTATATAAGACGAATTTTCAGGGAATTTACATACATCTATAAACATTCCCTAAAACCACACCGCAGCTGAAACGGTAAGTAAATCATTGGCAAATAATAAATCCTGTATTACGTTTTAATATTAAGTGTTTAGACCAAAATAGATTATTAAACTGTCAAACACCAAGCGGTCACCGGTGACCGCAACCTATTGTTCTAAAATTGTGTCTACAAAACCGGTACTCGACGAGTACCGGTATACCTACATATTTCATTAAATAACATTTAGCCTAATCTTATTATCTTACCTTATTACATGGTACATTACATGGGATTCATATATATTTATTATAAATGTGAAAGTTTGTGAGGATGTGTGTGTTGTGTGTGTGTGTGTTTGCTATTCTTTCACGTCAACACCAGTTAGTAGTTACCCAATATACGGCAGTTATACTATACTAGCTGTTGTCCGCGACTTCGTCCGCGTAGAATAAGATTCCAGTTTTATCCCATTGGAGCAATTAATCGGGATAAAAACAATCCTGTCACCTAAGTCAGTCCATACCCTGCCTATATACCAAATTTCATCAAAATCTGTGCAGTAGTTTCAGCTGGTTAACGGGCAAACATTTAAACCAAATTTCACACTTATAATATTCATGTGATTACTGTGATCAATCGACTATACCAATGATAACATTAAGGAGGTTTTTAATTTCCTAGTAAAACATGAAGCTCATCCTGGTATCCTGTCTTCTGACCCTGGCGTATGCTGCAGCAAACCAGACCCCCGTGATCCTGTGTGGACGGCAGCTGGCTAACGCTAGAGTATTATTGTGTTATGGGAAAGAATATGTCAACAAGAGGACAAGGATTAGCCCAGGTTTGTATCAGTCCTGTTAACTCTTTATGGCATGTATTTGTGTAGGTAAGTAGTTATATAATATTTTTCATTGGAAATACTTTTTAGGATCACCTGATGGTAAGCAATCGGCATCGCCCATGGACACCCGGAACACCAGAGGCGTTGCAAGTGAGTTACCGGCCTTTTGGGATTAGGAATTTGAGGATTTTTGGGGATTCAGGGATTGGGGAAGAGGGGGTGGGGGTATCAGGGCCTCCGGTAACCTTATTCACACGACGAAACACAACGCAAGCGTTGTTTCGCGTCGGTTTTCTGTGAAGCCGTGGTATTACTCCGGTTGAGCCGGGCCATTCGAGCCGAAGCATGGCTTTCCCACACTTAGCATTATTTAATTTTTATGTCTAAATGATATTATTTTTCGTAAAACATGTGATTTTCATAATATTTCTCATGAACATGTATATTTTTCATAGATGAACCCTCACAAGTTATGCAATCATAAGTAAGATATCAAAGCAAAACCTAATAGCTTAATATGGTCAAGTTCTTATTAAGCAGTTTTATATTTAAGACAATAATATTGCACCTAAAATATATGAATACAATAAAATCAATGTTAGGTGTGTGAGACAAGCTATGAATTTAATTTTTCAGTATTTTCTTTCATACTTCTATTTCTATTTGACCGCATTGTACTTTGTAATTTTTGGGCAGGCCATGTTTATTCAACTGGACATCATGATGAAAGAATATTCATCGGCACGGTCCTTTGTGACAGTTTTCTAGATTATATCTACCTTTTTATGACAAAAACAAAAAAATCTCAAAAGGACACTAAGATTTTCCACGTATTTCAGATCCTTATTTTGTTACTTGTACAGTTTAACATATCGAAAACTAATCACAGTTTCAGACTTCATGGCTGGCGAAAAAATGAATGAAATCGATTGGCCGTGGAGCGGGCGTCGAGGATCCTTGAGTGCCAACTGGTCACGATACAAGAGAGACGGACTGGTCGACGAGTGCTGCCTCAAGCCCTGCACTACCGACGTCATCCTTAACTACTGCTAAACGAAAATCAACCTTAAACCAAAGAAAATCAGAATGAAGACAAAAATTTTCTAACGCAAGAAAGTTGTAGGAAAACTTGCGGCAACCCTGAGAAGACTTAAGCAAGATGGCGTCATTTCATTCTGAACGCTAATGTACGTATATTTATTTAGATGTAAGCTAGTTACGTAACCAGTCCACATAAATAATTGTATATTTTATACTATAAACCTAATAAACGACTGAAAAAAGTGTTTTTTTATGAAATACATTTAATTTTTAATTTACAAAGATATGTAATGAAATTTACCTAATGAAAAAGGAACGAGGGTTTCAATAGCGATGTAAATTAGTGTACATTTTACGTTTTTAATTTCCAATCTGTGTGGGAGGGGAATACAAATCAGGAGAATAACGATAGGTATAAAAACAAGCTTTTGTTATTTTCCGGACGGCGGAAAAACGTCCATTGTTTGAATAGAGAATATCAATATTTATAAATATGTCGGTATACAACCTGTTTGCTATAAACTTTTTTTTATGCAGCCAGTAACAATTAAGTACCACAGATAAAAATTGAAATATTTCTGGGATTATTTTTTTATTCTGGTTGTAGGTCTTTCGTATTTCCCGGCAGTTATCTTATATAGAGGTAGATACTTTTTTAGGTAAATATGAAACAAAGAAAAAGGTGGACTACCATATTTTTTGAACACGTTGTTCATATTAAAAACAGTATGAAAATATTATCCCATAGTTATTTTCGACATCTGTAATTGTTTCATGTAGATATAATGAACCCGAAATAAGTAAAGTGTCAAAATATAAACACACATTAATTTATTTAAAATGGAGTACTTAACAGGCATATACAGTGGTTTATTTATTTTTATTTATTTACACTTAGGACAATAAGTAAGTATACAAATGGCGGACGTAATGCCTAGTGGCAATTTCTAACAGTCAACTTTAGGGTGATGCAGAGTGACACAATAGTAGGTTTATCTTAATACTATAGATACATTATTCGCATTTTAGTAAATTCTAGTTTCTAGTGTTTATTTAGAAAAACCAATATTACATTTCAAGCACAATTTACAACTTTAATTAAAAATAATAAAGTCAATAATTTAATTTAGTGGGATCCACTAAAAATACCGAAGATGTTACTAACATATTTCATTAGAATCCTTCGCAATCTCGTTTACCAGTCTCATTAAATGTAATTAAACTTAATCCTGAAAGAGCGAATGATGTTATATTTTCCATTTCATATTTATGTACGAGAAGATATAATACTATTTATTATATGTCTACTTTATTAATATGTTGGTTTTGTAATAATAACCGTAGTTATAATAGAACTGACTGCCTCCTTGGCCGAGTGGTCGCAAGTGCGACTGCCGGTCAAGGGGTATAGGGTACGATTCCCGAGTCGGGCAAACTATTACTGGATTTTTTTCAGTAGTAGCACGGAGTCGGAAATAATAAATAGGCTCACTATAACATAAATAGTGAAAAGTGGGTGTTACATTGTACAGTGGCATTAAGTGCCGTAATGTAGACCTCTGCCTATCCCTAAGAGGACAAAAGCGTGATCTTATGTAATGTTATAATAAAAAAAGATAAAGTAGAAGATTATAGATGGATATCAACGATCTTCTACGTAGGTACTAAAAATGTGTTGTATTAATGTAGGTGTGTGTTCAAAGTCCCTTTTATGTAAAAACTATTTTCTGATCAAATCAGTGTGGGAGTTCTGACGTTCCGACGGAGAAAGAAGATTGAGCAAAAAACTTCGTGGTTGTATTCTTTTTCGTGTTTTACAATTTATTCTGGATTAGGTGCATGTTGCAAATGAGTTCTTTACTAATAGGTACAAACTAAGTATGTTAAGGGAAACATGCTAATAGCATGCTAAACGGCGTTCTATTGAGCATGTTTAAAAATGATCAACAATCGAACGCATGTCGATTCGCAAATATGCGTGCCTTTAGCCAAACGCCACTTTATCGCTTGTCTGCAGAGAGAGTAGAAAACTAAATGTATGGGGATGACACTGACAAGTGTCAAAATTTACGCCAATTCTTTAAAATTTGGTTTTCTATTCTACATGTAGACAAGCGCTAAATGGCGTTTGACTACAGCCGCTGAAGTGGGCATGCTAATTTTGACCAAAATTCTAACACATACTACTAAGTGAGAGAAGTGCTCGATTGAAGCACACTTCGTACTTAAAAGTAGCATATTATATTATGTAACAGTACTTATCTTTCATTATTATACAGTCTATACTTACATCTTTTTTTGATCGCCCACTTCCTAATCTTAGCAATCCTATCCTACTAATATTATAAATGTAAAAGTTTGTGAGAATGTAGTGTATGTTTGTTACTCATTCACGTCAAAACACCTGAAGGGATCGAGATGAGATGAGAAGCTGCTGGCAGAAGTAAGTCTAATTAAAATTTTAGCAGATTCTACGCACAGAAGCCAAATCTACTCAGGTTTGGCATCTGTGCATAGATTTAGACGGTAATATTATTACTCCCATTGCAACAGGGAGTGAGTCTATTGCCAAATTGGATTTCGATTCCCCTTCACAGTTTCGGAGTAACATTGTTTGAAGTGAGTATTTGTATTAGGTGTACCTAGGTAACATGAGGAGTTACGAGTATTTTAAATTTTCCAGATGAAAAAGGACAGCGGGGAAAATATACCCAGCTCCGTCACAGCTTAGGTACTCTGGCTATTTTTACCTATATTATTGTTTGGCGATCTCCATTTGTATGATTATTTAGACACCACTGACAAACGGTGAAGGGAAACATCGTGAGGAAACCTGGGCTTATAATTTCTAATTATAAGTTTGAAATCGCCAACCCGCATTGAGCAAACGTGGTGGTTAATGCTCAAACCTCCGTGTGAGAAGAGGCTTTGCTCAGCAGTGGGCATTATTAGGCTGTTGATGAATGAAATGATGAATGATGATAATCTCTATTTATTAATTCTTCCAAACAGCAGTAGGCTAATCTGCTGCCGCGCAACGTATAGCAGGTTCTATTCCCGCACGGAGCAACTCTTTGTTTGATCCACAGATTGTTGTTCCGGATCTGGGTGTTATGTGTATGTGAACTTGTATGTTTGTAAACGCACCCACGACACAGGAGACAACCCTAGTGTGGGGCAACGTTTTTTAAAGAAAAAGCAATATCTGTGGCGGACGTGAATGCACCATCCATACATTTTTATCATCCGTTAATAACTGTTTACCATAATTATTATTTTGGACATACTCGACAGTCACATTTAAGACCAAATAATTCCTAAAGGTCAACAACCACTGAATTTTTCTACTAGCTCGCATATCGGACCGTAAACTCGTCAAAAGCTTCAAAGCAAGGCAATTTAAAACTTGCTCGTTCCGAGGACAGTTGAGTTTGCATCGATATAGCATATTTAGGTATCGTGGCGAGCGTTTCTTGTGTGGGATATTGGATGTGTGAAGTGGCAGCTCTATGCATCAACGGTGCAATATTGCGAATACCAATGTGATGATTTGGTTGAAGTTTGGAAATGATCCCATTATTATTTTAGGGATAGGCTGACAGAAAATTTTGATGTAAGATCATGTTAATTTATTTATGGGATAGGTGGCAAACGAGCAAACGGATCATCTTATGGTAAGCAGTCGACTCCACCCATGGTCAAACAACACTGGCTGTTCGCGCCGCGTTGCCGGCTTTTTACGGCGTTCTATTGAGTATGTTTAAAAATGTTTATAAATCGAACGCCTGTCGATGAGCAAACATGCCAACAATTAGCAACATTCCAAGACATGCTCTTAAGTGCGCATTGCCGGCTTTTTACGCATTAGCTTGGGTTAGGGATTTGAGAATAGGGAGATTTGATGGATCTCCATATTCTCATGTTTTTTAACTAATTGTCCTTTTTTTGTAAACAAAACAATAAAAAACTGAATTGTGCGCTGAGCATCGAATCAAAAACTCGATAATCCGCAGTGTTATGTACGATATAAGTCAGTACACCAATAAATAAGGCATTCCAATAAAATTATGTTCCGTAAAGCAAATAACTGAAGCTGAAAGAATATACCCGGATATTAAAAATATTTCAGGAATTTAATATTCTGTGAAGTCTGTTACCATACCATTCTTAATTTAAGAACATAATAACATCAAGTTTGTAAACTGATAAATAAAATTCACAAATATATTAAAAAAGACTTTGGCATTAAAACTACGACTTTTTATGGTTTATAGAACTCCAAACAAGTATTCGGATCACCTGATGGTAAGCAATCGTAGCCGCCTATCAACATTTGGGGGCTAGGGATAGGAACGGAGAATTTGGGGAATGCGTATGGTGGACCGATAACATCTCTAGAGTTGCGGGAAGCCGGTGGATGCAGGTGGCGAGTTGTCGTTCGATGCGAAGGACTAAGGGCCTTTGTCCAGCAGTGGACGTCTTCCACCTGTTTATGATGATGACGATGATATATGGGGATTAGAGGGGAATAATTGGGTCTCTGATAACCTCACTCACACGATTAAATACAACGTACGCGTCGTATTTCACGTCGGTATTCAGTGAAGCCACTCCGGTCGAGCTGCCCCATTCGTAGCGAAGCATGGCTCTCTAAAACTAAACTACATGTGTAACAGTTACCATCAAAATAGGTTTTATTATTCATGTCTTAAGTGACCTAGATAGTATTAAACTTTAATCTAAAAAACCATTTACACAAGTAAATATTTCTTGGTTAAAATGTAAGATGAACTTTATGTTATGTTAACAATGTAACTAGATAAGTTCCCAGAATGTTCGCCTTGTTACAAAATTTATGCAAATGTATTAATTAATCAATATCTAAGGTATAGGTAGATACTTACCCAGATGTCGACACCTGAAGACGTCGTAACATTTTCTCCTTCTATTAAATGGCATTGATGAATCAATCACTTCGACTAATCTAAACGGTAAATAACGGTAATGTATTGTGTACCTGATTAGAACTGAATCACTCTTATATGTTTTTACTCAAATATTAAAAATGTAAAGGACAATATTTGTATTATCAGTAAGGGTCTGACACTCCCTCTCACCTCACACAGGCGGGAGAAGTCATTCGATGATTATCCCCCCTTAAAAAGTCATCGTTCCCGTCATCGTTCGGACAAAGTTTGTATAAAACGAAGAACATTGGAAAATAG